TCTTATCTCATTATACACTAATCTTCACTTATCTCATTATACACGAATCTTCACTTATCTCATTATACACTGATCTTCTCTTATCTCATTATACACTAATCTTCACTTATCTCATTATACACTGATTTTCACTTTTCTCATTATACACCGATCTTCTCTTATCTCATTATACACTAATCTTCGCTTTGGTAACAGTTTAAACTTAACTCGTTACACTTTTCATGAGGCCCCCAGAGATTCCAATAGCGTGAAAGAAACAAAGAATACATATAACCTTTAGTGACAGTTCTTATTTTACAAGCTTCTCATGAGATCTCCAGACTCGCCAGTAGAGTCATAGAATACATGTAACCTTTAGTGACTGTTCTTACTTTACAAGCTTCTCATGAGATCTCCAGACTCGCCAGTAGCGGCAAAGGAAACAAAGAATATAAGTAAACTCTAAGGATTATTCTTATTACTTAAGGTTTTGAGTTTTTCAGGAACTGGTCAACAAAATATCATTAATAGCCACTCAAGACGATATGCGACGCCTCTCTAGTATTCTAACGAAATTCCAACCACATCTTGATCCTCGTGAAGAAAGAAGTCTAATCGTGGCCTTTCAAACATTATCATCCAAAATAATGATAATTAGACTATACAAACATGCAGTTCTACCTTTAGCATTAGATTTAGGAGTGTACTTATCCACCCAGACTGTTATTCATCGCGGTAATAAAAAATAATCTAATCTAATCTTGGAGTTTGCTCTGAACTTAGACCATAAAGTCTGATCTCTCATCACTTGGTTTTTAGAAAAACTGTCAAGTCAAAACAGTATAGTTATTTCTCAGACACTATTAATATATTATAAAAATATCCTAAAAAAAATAATTTTTTACAATACTGACATTACGTGATCGTTATATAAGACTAATGAATTTTAGCAATGGCAATTTAATTCTCATTTGTTGAAACATTACTAAAATTACGAGATTATTATTTAGTCAGATCAGATAAATCAAGCTAGGAAGTATACTGTTAATCAAAGTTAATACAATACTTTTTCCCAATACTTGTTTTACGCAGTACTGTTTTGCGGACACGTATCGTAACACTGAAACCTTTACACTTTTTCAACTCAGCAATATGTGTGCCTGAACGATTATAAGGATTCATAAAATAATGGAAAAAAACACTGGCTTAGAGTTAAATCTCACCTCTTCTCTGCTTTCCTAATGCCAGTCCTGTCCACACCAGTAAAAGGATGAACCACCTGTATGAGTGTTTTCTGAGCTTCATTGAGTTTGCTACTCAATCCGGGTTACAAACGTCAGAGACTGCCAGGTGTCTGCTGCTGTTCCTCGGTGATCCTGAACGTGATACACACGCAACACTCTCTTTGCGAGACTGCTACGTCAGGCCAGTCGGCCAGGACCACATGGTGATTCCCGAGGGTACAAGACTGAGAGCACGAGGTGGTCGGTAAGCACGGAGGCTGACAGAATGATTGTCTTGCATGGTTGCATCAACACTTTATGTCTCCAAGAGGCTTGCCTAGAAACACTAAACTTCGTGACCACTAGATGGCAGTGAAAGAGCAGTGTGATAACAAAGTACCGTGGCCTGAACTATGGTTGAGGAAACATGCTAAGTGGTTGATTTTTAAACAAACAGTCAATTTATCACAAGTAATTACCTTTACGTAAATTACTTCTTCAGCAGTCAACAATGCCCTTTTCTTCTAATTTCTTATAAAATTCTGAATAAATAACACTTTATTGACCATGAGCTATCTGTACTGTGTACACCACGAGTATCGAAACACGTTTTTTAGCGTTATAAGCCTTCGGACTTACCGCTGATCTACTGGTGGCTAACCATATGTGAAATACTGATTTTATAAGTCTTAAATCCTTAGATGTAATGTATTAGATATGACTTGTTTTACAATTATTTAATGAAATAGAGATGTAATTTTATAAATAGAAACTTAAACGTTACATATACAGTTTTATGGGCATCCTTCTAAAGCTTAAAAGGTAACATTCGTGATTTGATTTAACGATTTATAGATTGTACAATACGTTATGTACCCAGAGTTGAATATTCCAATGAAACCGGAATGTTTCGTGGATAAATTCACTCTTCAATATAATAAACAATACAGCAGTATTGAACAGATCTAAGAAACTTAATATATTAGTATGAGAATTTTAAACAGCAAATGAAAGCAATGAATTATTTAAAAAATAAAATATTTATGCCTTTATGTGTGACTAAAGAGGTTGAGCTGCGAATAAAAAGGTCCAAGGTTTGAGCTTTGATATGCTACTGAACACACTCCACAGTTTCAGCTATGGGAACGTTATAAGCGTGACTGTTAAACCTGCTATTTGTTTAAGAATAACCGTATATGGTCATGTTGTGCTGACTGGCTGACCTACATATGGTCAGCAGTTTAAACCATTGATGGCTTGCTTGAGCTTTAGTGGTCACTGAACTGATTGTTTTGCCAACGAGCCACGAGCCACGTATGGTAGTATTTAGTTTGAAATACGTAGCTAGTTGGGTAGAAATACACAAATAGATTAGATAATTGTAAGATTTCAAAATTAAGATACTTATAAAAACAAAAACAAAATCCTTAAAACTTGTTCGTGACTTCAACACCGAGCCAGCCTTCTACAAGATAAAATATGTTTTTTCTGTATGTGTGTTTTTGTTTGCATATTGAATTTCGTGCAAAGCTACTGGAGGATTTTATGCTCTAGCCGCCCCTAGTTTTGAAGTGATAGACTAGAGGAAAGGCAGCTATTCAACAATAACCACCGCCAACTCTTGAGCTACTATTTTACCAACGATTAGTGTGTTTGGCCATCATATTATAGCACTCTCAAGGCTGAAAGGGTGAGCATGTTCGGTAATGGGATTCGAGTAGAGTGCCCTAACCACCAGAACATGCCAGGCCTTCTTTTCTATGTGTAGGTCCTCTATTAAGTTAAATTTAAAGTTTCAGTAATGATAAAATAATCAAAAGAAGCCACGCTTGAGTAACAATAGTGCAAATACTAAAAGCAACGTTTCAGTAACAGTAGTGTAACTAATAAAAGTAATATTACACTTACAGTATTGTAATCACGGTTTTTGCATTTGGCAAAGTCACTAAGGTTATCTGGAACCGTCCCTAATTTTGAACTACACACCAGAGGGAAGGAAGACACTCATCAGTTCCATATCACCTACCATCCACGATAAGGGATTGACTGTCACTCTTATAACGCACTCACAATGTGGGAATATTTTATGCTATTACAGTTAAACCAACTCAAGTAGATTTTCAATTTATAGTGTTATGAACGAAAACCAATATCACTAACGGTAACTAAACCAATAAAATCAACATTTTAGTAACAATAATGTCATCAATGAAGGCAAATATTTCAAAAACGATATTGTAGCCAACTGATGCAACGTTTTAGTAACGGTAGTGTAACCAGTAAAAGTAGCATCTTAATAGCGATATTGTAGCCAACTGATGCAACGTTTTAGTAACGATAGTGTAACCAGTAAAAGTAGCATCTTAATAGCGATATTGTAGCCAACTGATGCAACGTTTTAGTAACAGTAGTGTAACCAGTAAAAGTAGCATCTTTATAACGATATTGTAGCCAACTGATGCAACATTTTAATAACGATATTCTAAATAAATGAAGAAACATTTCAGTGAAAATAGTGTTATCAATGAAAGCAAATCTTCAGGATCAGTAAGTTCTACAGCAGTTACGAACTTACAATGTTAAAATTCGAGGTTCGATTCTCCGAGGTGGACACAGCAAATAGCTCAATATGGTTTTGATCTAAAACCGACAAACACACACCCCCAATAAATAGAATTACTTCAATAACGATCGTGTAACAAATAGGATGATTTCCGATAACGATATTGTGACGAACTGAACAACATTCACCAGTGATAATGAAACTAACTTAATAAACATGACGGCAATGGCAGTGTAACCAAGGAGAGCAACATTTCAGTAACTGTAGTCTGTCCATCTGAAGCAAAGTTTCGGGTAACGATACTGTAGTCAATGGAAACAACTTTTCATGTCGGTAGTTTATCCAATAGAGCAAAGTTTTAGTAATGATAGTACTAACAAGGGAAAATGTTATTTTAACCAATGAAAGCAAAGTTTCAGTGAAACAAGGGAAAACGTTACTTTAACCAATAAAAACAAAGTTTCAGTGATACAATGGAAATCATTAATTTATCCAATGAAAATAACGTTTCAGTGAAATAATGGAAAATGTTAGCTTAATTAATAATAAAAGCAAAGTTTCAGTGAAACAAAGAAAAAATTAATTTAGCCAATGAAATCAAAGTTTCGATGAAACAAGGGAAACTTTAATTTAACCAATGAAAGTCTTTGTAAGATTGTTTATATCGGCTCATCTCTCTGCCTTTTAAAGATATACATAGTAGAGATCTTCGTGTGGTAAGAGGTAATAGTTAACTTATGCTTTGGTTGGTTTTGAGTATCGCCATTCAAATCGCATGTGATCGAATACTTATGGTGTTACTTAATAATTTGTTTTTTATTTATTTCATTTATGAAAATTAGGTTCACAATACTAATTATATATATCATAAGAAGCTGTCGAACTTGGCATTACATCTTAAATTATTATTGACAGTGAAAACTGTTTCAATCAACAAATCTTTGCTTTTTTTATTGTGTTTGCTCTTAATGACAAAAAATGGTTGCTTTATCATAATATGTTAATATAACTGTGGTATATGCAAATATAATTGTGATACATATTAACAAAAGTGTGAAAATAGTTAATAGAAGTTTGATACATTTTAATATAACTGTGATACATGTTAACATAAGTGTAATACATGTTAACATTATTACGTATTAGAATTTCTAACGGCTTGAAATTGAGTTAACTGATAAATTTAAGATTAGTAGTTAAATTGTACTTTGGATTTAGCACTTAAGTAAAAGCCGATATATAATCAGTTTATGATATTTGTCAACAAGATTTATACACATCTCTTCGTTTTTAACACAAATACGTTTTAATAAACCCACAAAAATACACTTTACAATAACAATTATTACAAATAGTTACTACAAACAATGATTTATAAACAAAAGTTTCATAAACTTACAAACAATATATAGTTTTCCTTCTGAATGATGTATGATGTATCGTAAAGCGGGGCGCTGTAATATAAGTATTATTTATCGTAAAGCGGGGTGCTGTAATATATGTATTATTTATCGCAAAGCGGGGCGCTGTAATATAAGTATTATTTATCGCAAAGCGGGGCGCTGTAATATAAGTATTATTTATCGTAAAGCGGGGTGCTGTAATATAAGTATTATTTATCGTAAAGCGGGGTGCTGTATTATAAGTATCATTTATCCTAATATTATTGTTGCGTACGATAATATATTTATGATTTAAGCTGAAATGTGTGTGCTATAAGTGTGACTTACTGTAATGTGGCTTTGCACTTGGAAAACTAACTTAATTTCCAGCTATAATAAGAAAATATATAAAGTCAATACGATGCATTTTACATTCACAATGTCAAAATTATCCAATTTTCGCTGAAAAAATACTAAACGTTAACAGACTAGAAATTATTGTTGCCAAGGGTGTCGTAATACTGCTTATAAAAATGGAAAATGCTTCAACTAAATATTTTTATCAAGAGAACTTGGAAATCGTCCTTTGTTTTGTTTCCTTCTCAAAATTTAAACGTTTAGTTTTAAACTAACTATTCGTTAATTTGATAAAGTTATACTTCTGAGAGATATTTGAAAGTTAATTATTCCTATCTATTAGAATTAGTATTGAATATAACTTCGTGGTAGTTAATATAACAATTGATTGATAATTCATTATAGTAATATACTAGTCGAAGAATGAGTACACTAAAAAAAACATTACAGAAACAACAATGCAGTGGTTCTTGAAAAAAATATACATGAACCAATCACAATGTCAGTCATCGGAAAAACCATTCAAAGCCTCTAAATAAAAAACAACAACAGTGGAACTTTAGAAAAACTAAGTAAACTATAAAACCAACAAAATTACCTTTTATGATATAAGTTATTTGATAATGCATGAAATACAAACAAAGTAACAAAACTATTCGTTGACTATTGAAGTTATTTCAGTAAAAGATCGTGTTTTTACTGAGGATATAAAAATATGTGTTTAACTAGGAAATGTGGGCTTCACAGCATAAATCATTTCAAAAATTAGAACGAATTGATATAAAATTTATTCAATAATAAAAAAAATATATAACACGATAATGAAATCATCTTGCCATTACCAACAAACATAGCTTTATTTGTAGATAATTGTGATAACAATGTCATTAACTTGTCATTATCAACAAAGAGAGCTGTATTCTAGATAGTTCTGATAACAATGTCATTAACTTGCCATTACCAACAAAGAGAGCT